AGAAACGATATAATTATAGTAGTCGTAGATCGGCTAACTAAATATATATATATAATTCTAACGACCGAAACTATTAACGTATAAATAATAGCTAATCTACTACTTAGATATATATTCGCTAATTACAGAATACCGAGTAAGATTACTTTAGATAGAGATAAACTCTTTATATCTAATATATAGTAATTATTTATAGATTAAATTAGTATTAAGTATAGACTCTCTACTATATACTACCTATAAACTAATAGGTAAATAGAATAAGTTAACTAGACCCTAGAATAATACCTACGGTATTATATAAATTACTAATAAAACGATTAGATAGGATTATTACTAATAGTATAATTTATATATAATAACACTATATACTCGATAACTAAGGAAATACTATTCTTCGTAAATTATAGGCTTAATCCTACGATTATCGGAGAACCTATTAGTAAATAACTAATTATAGAATTATTACGCCTATTAGCGATAGGAATAAAGTAATTATACTTTTAACTATCTAGAGATATCGAGTTTCTTAATATATATATAAAGTTCTACTATAATTAGTTACGCTAGGAGGCGCTAGACTTTTAAGAAGGGGAGAAAGTTTACCTCCTATAACGTAATATTCGTACTAGATAACCTAGTACGAAATTTAATTATCTTAAATTAGGACTATTCGAAATTATAGAAAAAATAGGACTACTTAATTATCGACTAAAGCTACTAGAAAATATATAATATATCTATATAATATTTTATATCTTATTATTAGTAAAAGTACCTAGAAATACTAAAATTGCTACTAATATAGAAATCGAGGAAGAAACGGAGAATAAATATAAGATCGAGGAAATCCTAGTAATAGATAAAGTTAACGGGAAACCTTACTACCTTATAAAATAGTAAAGATACGATACTTTAGAAAATATATAGGAACCTATCGAGAACCTAATAGGTTACTACTAGCTAGTTTAATAGTTCTATTAGCAGAGGGGGAGCTACCTAGCCTAGAAATATCTAAACTATCCTAGAAGGATAAAGGTAACTAAGTAATCTCCTAAAATATCTAATTAAAGTTCGGATTCTTAGTAGTAGACGCTAACTACTAAACTTTAAGGGTAAAAAGAGTAGCCTACTCTAGGGACGACGTCTTTTTATTAAGAATTCTTAATAATTTAGTATTATATTCTAATATTTTAAAACCTTTTTACTTAAAGAAGGCTATTTATTTTCGTAAATAACGCTATCGAGATATAGCTTCCTAATACTATTTTTATTTATTTAATAATTATTAATATAGCTCTACGAGATAAGACTATAAATCGCTTAACTTAGGTTCTAATAAGTCGAGTTTATTTTTATTCTTTTCGATATTAGAGGAAAGTTTATCCTTAGCGTAATATAATAAATCCTATTCCCGACTAATATAAAACTCTCGCTTATACGCCTAACTAGCGTAAGTATAAAAAGTATACTTAGAATATCGACGACTCCGATCTATTATATACTCTTTACTAGATTCCCGATAATAATCGTAAGGAATAGACGCGATAAAGCTATTTATAACGATATATTTAGTTTAACGAATACGACTAGTAACCTAATTACGTAGAATAGGAAGTTTAGGAATACCTTTAAGAATAGAGTTAGCCTTACGTTTAGGTATAATAAATAGATATAATAGGGTAAGAAGAAAAAATAGAAAAATACTATACCTACCTAAAAGGGCACTAATATTTAAAAAGAAATCCTTTAAGGATAAAGGACTAGAAAAAAAGGATAATATTATAGACCTTAAGAGGCGTAGGGACCGTAATTATTTAAGGAGTAACCGTAAACTAATTATCTACGGACGCTAAAGAGTAGCGTTATTATATACGTTTCGGTATACTTAGGTATACCCCGGAAGGCCCTAAGATATTCCGGAAAGAGAACTAGAAACGGCCTATAGCTAACTACTACGGATAATACCTACTTATATAATAAGGTAGTTAGTAAAACGTAGGAAACGGCTACTATTTTACCTATACTTAGATTATATCCTAAGTACTAGATACTAGTAAAACTATACGTAACCTCTAATAGTAAAAGGGTAGATTAGTATATAGGTAGATCGTACTAAGACTTATCTACTACTCTACTATCTACTACCTATACTATTATAAAGGACTAGATATATAAAGATACTCGTTTAGTATTATATATTTAGTTCTTCGCGATTAATTATATATTATTACTTAGTTACTACCTTTAGTACTCTACTTTATAGTTCACCTTTAAGATAACCTAACCTATAAGCAGGGGAGCTCACTTCGTAGCAACACTTAGTGACTAACCTACTTAGCGCGTACCTCTAGCACGTTCTGCAAGATACTCAATAGGACCCGAACCCGACGTAAGGCTAAGCATAGCAACGGTACGGTTACGAGATACTCTTAGAATCCGCAGTTAGAACTAGGTAAGTATAACCCGGACGCTCTAACTCACAGTGACTAGTCGGCACCGCGTAACACTACAGAAGAAGCTCTATAAGGTATAGGAACTAAGGGAAATAGGTAAAGCGTAATAGTTCTTAGGGATACGTATCCTTAGAGATCGCCGATAGAAGGCACTTTAGCTATATCAAGATTCCTATATCTCTTTAATAGCTAACCGATATTATCTTACCGAGAGCCGTAGATACGATACCCCCCTCCCCGAGACGACGATAAAGCTATATAACGGTATAGCTATACTAGAGTAGATTTATTAATACTAACAGAAGGTTAGGTCTACCTAATATACTACTATAATCAGTCGACTAGATATAGCTAAAGCTACTAGAGGTCTAGCTTAGTTTCTAATAAACCCTAGGCCTAAATACCTCTACGCTATCGATCGAGTTATCTCCTACCTCTACTAGACGAAATCTAGGGCTATTATATACCGTACACCCTTATATCCGTCCGAACTATATAGAGAGATAGCGGAGGTATAGATCTTTAGTAATATATCCTTCGCTAATAACTATAACCGAAAGAGCTCGGAGGGATATATCTATATAATATATAGTAGACCGGTTAATTAGAAGGCTTCTAAACAGACGACCGTTACTACTAGTACCACCGAAGCTAAATTATTAGCGATCTCATCGGTAGGGAGATCGCTATATATATAGACTCGCTTATTTAAAGCGATTAATTACCTACCAAGTTAACCCGTCGCCTTAAGATACGACAACTAGCAGACTATCGGTCTATTAACTAAGGAAACACCTTAACTACGCACTAAGCTTCGTTACGTCGATATCTACTACTGCTAGCTTCGTCAGGAAGTTTAGGCCGGTAGAATACTAGTATAGTAGGTACTAACGGGCGATATAGTAGCCGATAGGCTTACTAAGCTACTACCTAGGCAAAAACACACTAAATTCGTTCGTTCAATAGGTCTAGAGGATATTAAACGGCTATTAGAAGCTTCGTACACCTAGGTAAGATAGGCCACGCGCAGATTAGGCGAAATTAGCCGCTTGCTAAGGGGATATATCGAAATATGTAGAGTAGTAACTTACTACTAAAAACGGGCTTATTCATCAAGCGCCCAGGTTTCTTATATTTTTGTATGTAATACTAGCTTACAGAGAAACTCAGGCTTTATAACAGCCGAGTATCGGCCGCACGGACAGAAATACGTCCGTACAGCCAGGGGATAGCCATTCAACAGGCAATCCCCCTGATTTTCTATCATCATCAATCTGATCAATTATCTCTCGTCCCATTGGACATCTTTCATACTAGCCCATACAGAATCAGCCCATTCTGTCAGCATGTTCAATCCATATTTACCTGAATTTGGTCATAACCCAATGCTTGCAGCAACGGAGAAGTCTTCCCATGAAGGTCATCGTCCACGCACTTCAGTAGATTGTTTTCCTGTTTCATTATCGCACTATTGTGAACCCTTTCCGCTAGTTTTCTCATTGGCGGTTCGGCATCGGCGACAATTTTAGTCGGTGGCATTGCTGAAAGATGTATCTGGACCAGGATGAGCGTGTTGGTATCTAGAACGCAAAACCGCTCACTGTGACGAGCGTGATATGGAAGACACCATGTCTAAGCTTACATTCAAAGAGAAAGCCGTTATACCTAGCAACACACATAGAGGCGGTTGGTAAGAGAGGGCATGAAAGCTGCCAACAGCGGGGTTGAAATTGGGAAGTGGGATTAATCTCATGCCCAACGTTAGCTCCGGACACGGAATAACTTGAATCCGCAGACCATGCGACGTGGCTCAAACACGTTCACTCATGATCAGCTGGAAAGATCAATGTACGACTGACGCAAGGTAGAGGCTGACCCTTCATCTTACCTATTGAGCTCTTGCTCACATTATCCAGGTCACGCGACGCCAGAACTGAGCTCACTTGGTTTTCCCTTTGACGGCATCTACCCAATCACTGTTCGTTCGGATAGATAACGTGATATCACAAATTAATAAATTAAAGTCACGATTTTTTGGCCAACTCACATGTATACTTCATTCCTGTGTTCTCTACCAAGGTCAACGCTGACGGCTCAAACTCAGGACTAGATTTTCAATCTTGGGAGAGTCTAGCGGGCAAATACTGTGCGGTAGCTGGACCACCACAACATGCTTTGGGCCATTAGATTTCTAAACAACTTGATTTTTCGTAACTATACATACCTTCAGATTGATTCCTATGGTTCCTTGGTTTCTTGTCTGCACAAGCCTCATATAACAATAAGCCGGTTATGTTTTTCTTAACGTGTTGTGACTAACACTCGCTCAAGCATATTTTGCATTAAGCAAGCTAGGGTATATTGCTTATACTATTTTTGATCTCTTCATCTCGTGATTATGCAAAGCACACTAAGTGTGCTTTTTGCCTCTTCTCAGATTGCCGAGCCAACTAATTTATATCCATAGTGTTCAGGGCTGCAGATTTCGGGTTTAACTAATCGCTTGCCAAATGCCACAAGGCCCCAAAATATATTATGAGTGTTTCAATCATATAAATGCTCCTCCTTAGCAGCTTCGCACTTTTTGCACTTGCCGTTGGGTTGTGACCGATGGAAGTATGTAACAGCCTCTGTGTCCATTTCTTCTGTGTTGGCGATATCCTCGTGCGTACTTTGGAGTGATTGTGTAGCCAGATGGATCCTGGCCCGCTCCTCGGAGGTAATGGTCGCAGAGGCGATGTGAACAGAAACCGTTTTCAGATAGTTTATGGTATCATTGACCAGCTTGCAACTGATGGTCGTAGAGTGTGGAAGTCTCCCTGTGTGTATCTCTCCTGTCGCTGGCAGTTGGAAACCACGGGTGTATCGGTGTCGGATCTGTGGGAGACTTGATTCCTCGGTACGTCTCTTCCTAACGCCTAGGAGGGACTGGCCTATTCCCGTATTTTTAGACGACCCAGGCTCGCTCGAGCTAGCAACTGAAGTGGCTACAGAGGCAGGGATAGAGTGGTCATGACGGGGCAGTTGCGATATTTGGCTGGCGCGGTCGTGTTCCCCATAAGTAGTTTGAGGATTGATCTGATTTGAGTTCATGTTGAAGCAATATGAAGTTTCGTAAAGGATTAACGTGGCATAGAAATGACAAGAGGGTAAGCCGCGTGCTTTAAATATTGTGGACTGGAATGGCAGCCTTCATTTTCAGAAGGTAAACTCACTTTTCGGTTTCCAATGTCAAACTAATCGGCATTGGCTCCCAGGAGCAGCAATATGAGAGTACGTGTTCTGCATCCAAAGAATTTGTACTATTGTCTACTAGCGCATCACCGTCTGAGAGCACCACCGTTTATATCTGTGTTTGCGAATATTACAGTACCGTCTGAGAACACTATCGTATTACGGAATCCACCAATGCAGTGTATATACTGAAGGTTACAGCGCACAAAATTGAGGGCGCTAGGTACGATGCAAGGCCATGAAAAGCTCGAGGAATAAATCAAATATAATCAATTCAACCATTATGGGCCAGTGGGAGGTAGCTTGGAATCAAACGCTGCAACCAGCAATAAAGGAGTCAAGGCAGGCCCATAAGAATGTTAACGACCCCATTATACACCACCTCTCTGTCACAATGAAGATTGTTGACATCCTCAAAAAAACCATTCAGTCGATCTACCGCAGCTGAAAATCCGGCCGGTATCCACTTTTCGACCGATAACCTTGAGTGATAATGATCGGCCTGTGCCGCCGTCTCGTACATGACTAATGCCCAGCTCAATGCGCACATGTTCACAATGAACGCATCCTTCACAACTACCTCCTCCCCCGAAATCAGTACAAACACATTCTCTCCTTCCTTCACTGCCCGAGTGCTTTGTAAATTGCAAATGCTGCGGAAGTCGAAGTTGACCCTTGCCACTTGATTGTGCGGCAGTCCCTTGATCACCTCTGCAAAGACTAAGCAACACTGCTTCACTGACGCAGCCGAAAATATGGTCCATGGCTCAAAGGCAACATCGTAATCAGTAGGCATTGTCTATGGCAAAAACGCATTAGTTGGATCCGAGCTGGGTCTCCATGCTATAATATTCGACGTTACCTAGAAACGAGCTAATCCAATTCTCTTTTTTCCGGCTACAAAAGGAATCTGGATGCGACGATGCTGCTGTCATATGCTGCGCAAGACATGGGCGAGAACACTCAATTTAGAGGGATAACCACGAAAACAACAAAAAGGCTGAGTTAAGTTTCACTGGGTCAGATATACATGAGGCAAATAGGTTTAGTGGAGGACAAACGATGGGTGGACCCACATGATGCATCTGGGATTCCCTGAATGCGAGGAAGCTTTGGTCCCTCATGCTACATTCTGTATTTAGATTTTAGTATAGTGTTCATCAATATTGAAGCAATGTTCATATGCGCATACGCAAGGTACTCAGAATGGGCACTCTGCTCCCAGGATCCTCTGGCTGGCTCCTGGAGCCCCTACCTGGACAGGGGAGTTTTGCAGCTTCACCGTTGGCAATTGGATAGATCCTTGTTAAATGCATCTAAATCTTGAGTAATTTGTATAGATCGCATTCTACTTCATACCTTCTTGGCCTCCGAAATTGCGAGTCGGGTCGGCGGGGCTCGGTGAAGACCGCTTGGCCCTTGGCGTTGAAATGATTCAAACCACAGATTGACCATGTATTTCATTGAATCCCGCGGTGGAAGAAGGCTAATGGAATATAAACTGCTGCCTTACTTCAACAAGCTCAGCTGGGTGTTGTATCTAGACACCGTAGCGCATCCACCACCGACATTACTAATAGCTTAATCGCTTCTACTGACTTGTTCTTGAAGATAAAATTTCGCTACCAAAGGAAAAAGTGAGTTGCAGGCCATTTGCACCGCTTGAAAACTGACTACGGAGCTGGGAAACACTCCTCATTGGTGAGGCAGGATAGAGAAGCAGGAGCTGATTTCTAAATAGCTCGTCTTGGAAAATAAAAATTCGTCTTTTCATCTATATACTAAGGATATAACTTGCCTAGTTGACCCACAGTAGCGATAATATTCTCCCCCACTCTAAACCGTAATAACGACACATTACCCCGCCGAACATATTATCATCCTCAAATTATAGCTCATCCCAACGAGAGCTACAAAAAGGACGCCAGGCGAGGCTCACACAAGTGAATTTGCCGCAGACATCATTTAAAACTACCCCTCTACACAATTCTCAATCTAGTAGGGTTATCGTTCGCTACTCTATAGGGTCCCGATCACACCCTACCATAAAGCGTGAAAAGCCTACTAGCGATCCCATAATAGTAGTTTATGACTGTTGTAAACCTAGCGAAGTTATTCGTTGTCCGAAAGTAGCTAGTTGTTTATATCTTAAAGTAGATTGTGCTCTTCTTCTAAACGGATCTTCCGCGCTAAGTTAATCACGTAATATTCCTATAGATATATATATAGGTCGAGAAGCTTAATAGCTAATAAGGCAAGCGATAGGGATATTTATAGGATCTAATTCATCTCCTTTATAAGGGAATAAGTTACTATAACCGCGGTTAGCTAGATAACTTATAAGGGCTAGCTTACTATTATTAAATCGGAATTCTAACCTTATACTTATTCTAATCTATAGTCCTAGTTAATATACCGCCTATTTTCGACCTAATAGAAGAGCGGTCTTTATAGGAAAGTAAAGAATAGTGTCTTCGCTTAGAAGGTCTTCTAGAAAATAAGTTAATACTAGGCGATTCTATTATACTAAGTAATATATACTATAGCTAGAGGGTAAGATAGGGGATTTATAAGAGTGGTTAAAGATAGATATAAATATAACTTTTATAGGCCTTAGAAATCGCCAATAAGCTTATCCTATTAAGGTAGGTAAAGTAGACTAGTTTTCTCTACTAATAGCTATTTAACTAAATTTTCCTATAGTTTCCCTACCTAAGTCTTTTAAGGACTATATTAAGGGGATTGCTTATATTAGTCTATTAAGTAGTTTTTATTAGTATAGAAATCTATAAGTAAGACCTATACTATAATAGTTATTAGGATTGGCGGCTATAAGCGGATTATCTTTATACTACTATATATCTATTTAGTGGACTATATAGGGATAAAGTATATAATATATATCTAATCCCTACTACTCTAACACCCCTAAATATAGTCCTAAGTCTTAACTAAATACCTTACTAAGATAAATCATAAAAGAGAGTTCTATAAACTAGAAAATTTAAAATTAATCTATTTAGACTACTAATCTAGTACTTAGAGTAGCGACTAATGACACTAAAATTTATATAGTGATTCTATTAGACTACCCTCTAGATATAAAGAGAGAAACCTAACTCTATCTATAGAGATACCTCGCTAAATATTAGGATTAGAGATTTCTCTAGGGCAAAAATAAAGGTAGCTTAAGTCCTAGTAATTCGAATTTTATAGACCTAGTTATTAGTAGTCTATAGTAGTGCTTATATAATATACTAAAAACTACTAGTAGTGATACTAATCCCTATAAGAAAAGTCTCTAATTATAAGGACTTATAAATCTAGAAGCCTATCGCTACTAAAGGCCTATTTAGTAAATAAGATAAAATCTTCCGCTTTAGTCACTATTATAGTAGTTACTATACCTTAATCGTTATCCTCCTAAATATTATATAATTCTAAGAGTAGGGAATCTTAGTTATTAAGGATATAAGAGTAGCCTAGTCTAGTATCTAAAGAGAGGCGAGAAAGCTTAATACTTATATCTATAGGACTTAGATATATCTATCTCTTATATAATATACTTAAGATCTCTTATTATATATCCTAATAGATCTACTTAGGTCCACTAAATTATAGATAAAGAATCTATAGCTATAATCTTTAGGCTATAGGCTATAGGTATTATCGCTATTTTAGTTAGTATATATCTAATCTTTAAATCTAATTACTTACTACTATATAAGGGTCTATATAGAGCGCGAGGGCTATTAACTACTATATATCTATAATAGAGACTAGATTAGTAACCTAGCCTAGTAAGATATTATAATCTCTCGTGAATAGACTATTATTATTAATTAATATAAGCTATTATTTATAATAGAGAACGCTTTTTAGAGTAGGTATATAGCCTTAAATAGTATCTTAGATATATATATTTATAACTAATTAATTTAATAGTTATAGATATAGGTATTCTAGCCCGCGGAAAGAGTAAAGGAACTATAAAATAATAGTAAAGCTACTATCCTCGCTAGGCTTATTAAGTAGGAAATTAAAATATACTTTAAAAGATTTTAGTTATATTAGAGTTAGAGAGCGCGAAAGTAACTATAAGAGATATAGCTAATTTAGGTAGTCTCGTAATATTAGCGCTTATAGTGAGTAGAATATTGAAGATCCTATTAAGGTAAGGCCTATAGGTAAAGAGACTTTAGAAAGAGATAATATTCTAAGGTATAGAGTAACCACTATACTTAAGGACTCTTTTTTGTCCCCTATATAAGGCTTCTCTATATCTCTATATAGCCTAAGGGTATCCTAGTATAGAGATTATACTATAGCTAAAAAGATAAACCTAATAGATAGTATATAGAGGTATTACTTATTTTAATTAATATACTATTATAATAAGTAGACCTCTATTAGATATTAAAGTCCCTCCTACTCTAATATTATTAAGTAGAGTAAGTTAGAGAGGCCCTCTAGACTATTTTAGGTAGAGGGATAGGTTCCGTTAATTATAAGTAAAAGATATTATAAGTACCTTTAGTTCTAGGTTAGATAACCTTTTTAATCTAAGAGTCCCACTAGTATATAGGTACCTAGTCGCTACCTATTAGCTATTAGTCTTAGTATCGATAGGATATTATAGGCTAATATAAACTAAAATATATATAAGCTATCTAGCTTAAGGTATATAATTACCCGCTAAAGTTAATCTAAAATATCTTCTAGGAACTATATATACGCTATCGTATTATTAGTGGACCCTAGACCTCGGCAAAGACCGGGTCCGGTCCCAAATCTTAGGACCGGGACCGGGACCTCCGGTCCTTGGTCTTTTTTTGAAGTAGTCAGGACCGTACTACGGT